TATTTTGCATGTTCTTACTTTGCATGGCAGTGCAGGATTGTAAAGATAACTGGAAACCATGAAGTCCTGGAAAACAACTCTGCATTCAATGGGAAAAATAATGGTTGTTCTGTGATCCTTATAATTTTTGTCAAAATATTAGAAACTGTCATATTGTCAGTTAGAAATGTAGCAGGAAGTCCAAACAAATATTTAGTACACTGTAATTCAAAGCATTAGAAACATTGAGTGTCAAATTGTTTTATTTCTTTGTAAAAATGTATCAACAGTAATTGGAACAGTGTTGCCTTTGTCTTGTATATTTACTATACGGAACAAGCGAAAGAACAACAGGACACTCTGGTATATTTTTAAATGATTACTTTTCCTCTCCGTGTCCTGGAAGCACAAGTGAGTATTTCTCCCATATTCACTCTGAGGAGCTAATCAATTTCCCAGAGGTAAAACTCACAAAAGTGTGGGAGACCTCCGTTATTGGGTCCTCCTGGAGCCTGTTTCTAAGACTGGCCCACACTGAGCCTCAAGAAATTCTTCAATTACAGTGCAGCTTTTCCTCCCCGGTACTGGTTCCCACAGAGGTTTTGGCTTTAGGAAGTTGTGATTCTCTATATCACCCTGCCCAGCTCCCCAGTTCTGGGGACAGTGGTTTGCCCTGTGACCTCATTTTTTCTGACAGATCTAAGAAGAATTGTCGTTTTTTATTTACTCAGCTTGTTCCTTGGTGTTGTCTTAAGTTACTTTTGCAGGGGTTGTCCAGGGGATTTGGTTTCATCCCAGAAGTTTGCTACAACCACAAGCCCTCAAATGTGCCACACCTGGAATTATGGTCTCTGAAGCTGCAAGCTCAGTCCTTAGCTGCAGAGCCCTCTCAGTCTGGGCTGTCAATGAGGAAGGGTCATGGGACCCCTGGCATGAGATGAGTGCCTCTGAAACAGCAGGTTCTGGAGCAGTTGACCTCTCTCCAGTACTAGCTAATGCTCCCCAGGCCTGGGAACCCCAAGCACAGACACTGACAACTTCCCAGAGGTGGCAACTGTGCCCGCTTCCTCTTTCACAATGGAGGATGGTCCCAGTCTCATGGTCCTTTCTCCCTACAGCTACCTCACTCCTCAGACAACATAGCAGGTGAGCAGATGCCCTCCTTTCCTGCAGAGCAGAGTCTGGGTTCTCTCCATGAGACACAGTCTGACAGGGCAGGCCATGTCCATCCCTGTCTCCCAGCCCATCTGGACAACCCCTGCCACTTCTCTGCTGCCAGGACTCACAGGTGAGTGCAGCCTGCTCTACACGGGTGTATTTCTACGTGATGCCTCCTCACCCTCTCAGCCCATCTCACCTGCTCCTGTTGATTTCCATTTGGGAGTCTTCTCTCCCATCCCAGCAGGAGACAAGATTTGGAACAGCTTTTCCATGAGCATTTGCGTAGACCCTTATTGGGGTCATATTGATTCCCCCAGACATCATGCCTGTACCATGCCCCTGGCACTAGTAATGACTCCATGATTCTAGGCCTGGGCACATGACCTCAGCTCGTTGTCATGGTACTCCACCTCCGCCAGCCACTGGCCAAGGTTGTCACACTGCATCGTAAGTGCTTGAGGGCAGAGGATCTGTTTTTTAAAATTGTTGCTATAACCAAAACACTACCTAATAACAATAATATCTAACTACTATCTATAATGATAAAGGTAATACTGAATATATAACTTTTAGGGGACACGGTCAGATAGTATTAAGTAATTTGCATATATTGGTTCATTTAATTCCCATCACAAACTTATGAAGATGGTATGATTATTCTCTCCATTGTACACTTGGGGAAACTCAGGAAACAGGGAGGTTAATAGTGACCCCAAGATCACACAGCTGGGACCTGTTAGAGCTGGATTTCAGACTAGGAAGTTTTGATTCCTAAGCCCACAGTCTTCCATCTTTAGTCTTCTGGAGCATCCAGCTCCCAGTTTCTCATGTGTCCCAAAGTCGTCCCTGGTTATCTGCACCTGCTGTGACGAGTCGGGGTGAAACATGGCAGACAAAGAAGAATTTTAGCTCACGGACTCCCAGGCTCCTGGTCCTCTCAAACATTCAGATTTTATCCATGCTTCCCCAAGTCAACCTAAATTGAAAACTCAATTCTCCACATGATTTCCACAAAAATTGTAAGCATCTATTTACTTAGTTGATCTTTACTGAAGGATTGAAGTTCACAAGAAGGCATTTGCTGCTCTAAGCATAGATTCTGCCATCTTCCTGATACTATTCTATGTATTTTTGAGTCATATATTCCCAATTCTTATTTTTGGAGGCATAATACTTTATGACTCACACCTCTGAAGGTAATGTAGTAATGTGGCTAGGTAAAAGTAGAGCAATAGGAAAAGATATGCCACAGTATTGTGGTATATTCTTACCTATCCACGTTACTTTGTTTGGTTGTCTCTGTGCTGTATCACAGGAGATTTCCCCTACATAATCACCCAGTTTACTAACTTACTATTACACTTATTTATGTATAGTCAGCTAGTCAATCTATTAAGTTTTTAAAAAAAATGTCAGCACTGATTATGTTTTCATTTCCAAAGTCTGTGTTTTGGTATTTTTTCAAGAGGATTGTTGTTACTTCATGCCCGCCTATTTCTGTTTCATATTAACACACGCCTGATGTTGGTTTATGAATTTACTTCCCTCTTCTTTTCCTTGTAAGATCATCAAGTATACGAATTTTAAAGAACTTTACACATTTTATTTTTTCATATTTGCTCAGGGTGTGAAGTTCTTTTGATTGCTGTTTGTTTTTGAGTTATTGTTTTTCTTGAATTTGTTAGCTGCAGTGCTGTTCCTCAAATCTTTGGGGATTCTTGCTTGCACTGCCGTCTTCCCAGGAATAATTTCTCATGTGATCATGGATTGTCAGGGCCTCGTGGAGCATTGCACCTGCCCCAGCCTCACTGCAAGGGCTGCTCCTAATTGAGACTATGGCTTCTTCTCTGCTTTCTTCCTGAGGGATGCCTCTCACTTCCTATGAGAGGTATCATAGTACAACCATTAGAAGTGAAGGCTGTGGAATGTGGCAGCCTATGTTCCAGTTCTAAAAGCTGGGTGATCTTGAGCAAATTCATTACTCTCCATGTGCCTCGGGTTTTCTCACCTGTGAAAGGAGGTTAATGGTTGAGCTTACCTCATGGGGTCAGAGCAATGATTTAATGACATTACCAATGGAAAAATGCTTGGCACCATATCTGGAGCACAGGACACTCTCAATAAATGATAGCTGCTGTAATTCCTTCTTGTCACATAGAGGCCAATTGCTTGTATTCAAGTGTAATTAGACATTGATTCATATATTCTTTTCATTTTGTGTTTTCATTACTGTGGATGCGGAGAAAGAGGGGAAGATTTCGCCCTGCACACATCTGCCACATTAAAACAGAACTTTCAATTAAAACATGATAACATTTACAATTTGATTTGACAATTATTCATGACAGATTAAGGACCTAAAACCCACATGTGAAATAAGGATTCTGGACAGGTCTTTCTTAGTCATAGATGCTGGAAGAGAAATCATTTATTTTAACAAGATGGCTTTTCTAAAGCACAACCGTGGCACAGAACCAGTGGACTCTTACTGTACACAGAAAATAATTATAGCCACTTTTTTTGCATATAATTAATTATAATTCAAGCATTCAGTATGGCTTGTATTATTCCTACCATAGCTCTACAAGGTGCATATTATAACCTTTATTTACGTATAATCAAACTAAGGCTCAGAGAAGTAGTGTCTTTTTGAAAATCATACAGCTGGAAATTGTAAGAGGAGCAATTAATCTATGAATGAACAAGGAGCAGGATTTAGAGAATCCAGAGGGAGAAATTGATTTCAAGGTGGCAGGGGTAGTCCAAATATACCATATAAGCTGGGTCTCAGGAGGCCTGAGTTGCTGGGAGAAGGCCACTGGTGGGCACTCAGCATGCAGTAGGGATCCATTCAAAAACAACATTTGAGTGCCTGCTCTTCACCTGGCACCGTGAGTATCAATAATGACCTACTGGGTTTCAAGCATGATATAGTCATTATCTCTTTAATCGTCACTAAAACACTGCAAAAAAAGACTTACTATTCCCAGTTTAGGAGATTGAAACTGAGCATAGAAGGGCCCAGCGACTTCCCCAATTCCTTGGCACACACTCTTGGTGGGAGCATGGATTTTTCCTCTTTCCTCATTTCCTATCTGAACTCAGTGGCAAATGAAATAGGTGCTCTGCAAGTAGAAGAAAGGGTATTGAAATTGATGTGACAGCCCCAGGAACCTGCCCACCATAATCTTCCCTCATCATAACCCTATCCCCTTTCCAGAACCCACAATCCCCACCTCCCTCCACAAATCAGTTGATTATTACTCCAAACCCAGTTTCTCTCCTGGAAGGAGTCAAGAAATAATTCCTTCTGCTTCTGCTGGGTGCAGGCAAATGAAAGTGCTAAGGTCCTCAAGAGACTGAATTTGGGCTAAGTTTTGCCAATTATAGGAATAAAAGGTTGGAATAGAAAATCATTTCAGGAGAAGATCTGGTTCCTCTCCAGTGTTGAGCAGGTCCTGTGAATCCTTCTCCTACCTCCAGCTGAGTGGCATTTGGTTGAGGCTGGTGCAGAACGAGACCACAAGCCAACCACATCCTAGGGTCTTGAAGTAAAGACTTTAGAAAACAGTTCCTAACAACAGGTCTTTCTTGGCTTAAAAGCCCCAAATGGCAAATCACCAAGAAGACCTGAAAATGGGGTTGGGGTCATGAGGAGGGAGCACAGGCCCCAGGCAGGCAGGAAGCATTCTTTCTGCTAACTCTATCTGATTCTCCTGAAAATGGAGCACAAGTAACTCCTTGCTTTGTAGCTGCCTGCTGTGCCTGATTTGTATGTCACAATCTAGAAGCAGGTTACTGTTGCACTCCATCACAGCCACTTCCTCTTGAATTGGGGGAGGCGGGGCTTGTCTTCTCTCTTCAGAGCAGGGCCTGAGATTTCCCCAGAACAGGCGTTTGAACAGAGCAGGCTTCTGAGGTCTCCAGAATGCCTGTCCCAGCCTCCTGGTCCCATCCTCCTGGTCCTTTCCTGCTTCTGACTCTACTGCTGGGATTTACAGGTGAGCATTGCATTGGGCTAGAACCCTTTCTCCCTGCCTCCTGGACCTAGCCTTGCCCCTGGACTTGCAGCGATTTCAGATCAGCACAAGCACTGCCAAGGAAAGTCAAGGACTGGACATTGTCCAAAAGCAGAAGATCAGGGAGCTGAGCACTTTCTCTGTGGATCTGCAGTTGGCTACCAGAGGCATCAAACCTTGTGATGCTTCTGCCACCATCACAATTACTTACATTTTTATAATATTTTATTTGACGAACACAGAAGAATCATTATTAAATCCTTACCTGTCTTGAGTCCTCCCACCCATTTTCCTGTGCCCTCCTCCTCTTTAAGAAGTTCCACATTTCATGCTTACAGCGCCCTATATTCCTTTCCTAGGGCTTCCATAACGAAGCACCACAGACTCAGTGACTAAAACAATAGACATTTGCTTTCTTTCTTTCAGTTCTGGAGGCTGAATTGCAAAATCAAGGTGCCAGCAGGGTTAGTTTCTACGGAGGTCTTTCTCCTTGGCTTGTAGAAAGCTATCTCTTCCATGTCTTAACACATGGGCTTCCTCTGTGGGTGTCTGTGTTCTCATTTTCTCTTATGAGAACGTCAGCCATATTGGATTAAGGCTCCCCACCAATGACCTCATTTAACTAAATTGCTTCACCCATTTATGCCTAGTGCTTCATTATTGGATCACTAAGCTTGCGGGAGTTATTTATATCCTACTGCTCAAGGGCATCACTAAGTTCTGATTTTTCAAATTTAAAAAATTGCAACCTCAGGCATAAATGAGTTAAAAACCTTGTCTCCAAATATGGTCACATTCTAAGGTGCTGGGGACTGGGGCTTCAACCCATTTGCTTTGGGGGCACATTCAGCCCATAACAGGCACCACAAACTCCCTTAGTCATCTTGATTTTCCTCTGGAGAATTTATTTTCCCTTCCCCCAGGCAGACAGGATTGGGAAGTCTTTCCTGGTGCCACTTGGGAGAGCCCTGTTCACTGCTCCCAGACAGGCTGCCTGTCCTCACCTCTTTTCAGACCATGCAGCTGACCGCTGGTCACAGGGCTGGGCACAATAGCCTCTCAGTTGCTCACTGGGCCTTCCTGTGATGTCACCTCACAGGTCTTAGAGGGCAAGGGTCTCACTGTTCAAATTATTTTTCTTACACATACACTGTACCCAAATGACAGCAGTAATAGTTCAGCAATTGCTCTCTTCCTGTAAGGTAGACACACTTATCATTTTGCTTGTATGAAGTCAACTAATCCTCAAAACATCCCTGTGTGAAAGCTACAACTCTTGTGCCCTATTTGCAAATGGGGAGTGAGGCAGAGGGAGAAACTTGTTCATTGTCCCCTACCTCAGTCCATGGAGCAGTTGGGATCAAGTCCAGGTTGACCAGCTCCAGAGTTGATCACCCTTTTAGCCATGTTATGCTATATGCAGAAATACTAGAAAATGCAGGGAAGCAAACGTTAGATTAATAGTCGCCCATCACGCCAGTCAGAAACAACCAGAGGTAAAATGCTAGCATATGTATGTATTTTCAAAATGTTGTTAAAAATATGTTGGATGATTTCTATGTGCCAAATATTTTACTGAGATTTTTAAATTTGTAATAATTATAATTAATGCACAAAACAACCTTACGTACTAACATGATAGGCCAAACTTTTATATATATTTGTGTACACATTACATATACACATATATATACACACGTGCATATGCATGTACATGTACATGCACATATGAGATTTCATTTTTAATCATTGTTTCTCCAACTTTTTATTTATTTTCTATTTTCAGTGAAATTTTTAACAAAATAAATATTTTATTTTATTTTTATTTGATAAAAGTATATATACTTATGTACAACATATTATGAAATATGCATTCATTGTGGAATGACTAATTTGAACTAATAAACATATGCATTACCTTATACATTTATCATTTTTTATTGTGAGAACTCGTAAACTCTGCTATCGCAGCAGTTTTCAAGAATACAACTCATATTATTAGGTATAAACACCACATTGTACAAGAGATATCTTGAACTTATTTCTCTTATCTAAATTGAAATTTTGTATCCTTTGACTAATATCTCCCCAACTGCACCCCCTCTCTAACCCTGGATAAATACCATTCTACTTTCTACTTCTATGAGTTCAACTTTTTAGATTCTACATATAAGTGAAATCATACAGTGTTTGTCTTTCTGTGCCTGGCTTATTTCACTTAGCAGAATGTCCTCCAGGTTCATCCACATTGTTGCAAATGGCAGGATTTCCCTTTTTGTAAGGCTGATTAGAATTCCATTGTGCATATATACTACATTTTCTTTCTCCATTTACCTGCTGATAGACACCTAGGTTGATTCCATATCTTGGCTATTGTAAATAATGCGGCAATGGACATGGAAGTGCAGATATCTCTGTGACATGCTGATGTCATTTCCTTTGGATATATGCTAGTAGTGAGATTGCCAGATCAGATAAGAGTTACATTTTTAATTTCTTGAGGAACCTGCATACTGTTTTCACTAATGGCTCTACTAATTTACATTCCCACCAACTGTCTGCAAGCGTTCCCTTTTCTCCACATCTTCTCCAAAACTAGTTAAATTTCCTCTTTTTGATAATAGCCATTCTTACACGTGTGAGATGATAGCTCACTGCGGTTTTAATTTGCATTTATCTCATGAATAGTAAGATTGGATATTTTTAATATGCTGACTTGCCATCTTAATATCTTCTTTTGAGAAATGTCTATCTGGATCTTTGGCCCATATTTTAATAGGGTTGTTTTCTTATGGTTGAGTTGTTTGACTTCCTTACATATTTTGTATACGGACTCCTTATTAGATGTACACTTTGCAAATGTCTTCTTCCATTCTGTAGGTTGTCTCTTCACTCTGTTGATTGTTTCCTTGGCTGTGTAGAAGCTTTTTTAGTTTGTTATTAATGCCATTTGTCTATTTTTGCTTTTGTTGCCTGTGCTTTGGGGCTCAAATCCAAAAATGTATTGCCAAGACCAATGTCATGAAACTTTTCTTGTAGTTCTTATACAGTTTCAGACCTTATATTTAAGTCTTTAATCCATTTTGAGTTGTTTTTGTATGTGGCATGAGAAGAGGGTCTAATTTCATTCCCCTACACATGGATATCCAGTTTTCCCAACACCACTTTTTGAAGAGACAGATCTTTCACCATTGTGTTTTCTTCACACTTTTGTCAATAGTCAATTGAGTGTGAATGTGTGAGTTTATTGCTGGGTTCTCTGTTCTGATCTATTGGTCTAAATGTCTCTTTTTATGCCAGTGCCATGCCTTTTTGATTACTTTGAAACTGTAGTCAATGTTGAAATTAGGCAGTGTGGTGCCTCCATCTTTGTTCTTTTTTTTTTTTTTGGACGGGGTTTCGCTTTCCCACCCAGGCTGGAGTATGGTGGTGCAATCTCGGCTCACTGCAATCTCCACCTCCCAGGTTCAAGCGATTCCCCTGCCTCAGCCACCTAAGTAGCTGGGACTACAGGTGTGCACCACCACGTCTGGCTAATTTTTTGTGTTTTTAGTAGAGACAGGATTTCACCATGTTGGCCAAGACAGTCTCGATCGCCTAACCTTGTGATCTGCTCGCCTCAGCCTCCCAAAGTGCTGGGATTACAGGCATGAGCCACCATGCCTGGCCCCATCTTTGTTCTTTTTGCTCAAGATTGCCTTGACGTAGCATATCACATTTGGAGATTTATGAATGTTGTACCATCCTTGCATTCCTGAGATAAATCTCATGTGACCATGCTGAAACACACACAGGATTTTAAAAATACTTTCTTTACTATAACCTTCAACTCATTTTTTCAGTCTACATGAAATGCGCATTAAAGAGATGTGTGGTTTTCTCTATTGCCCAGCCATTCTGCCTTCTTTCTAATTCTCTAATCTTACCACTCAAAGTCCCCCAATCTGTTAATATAAGCAACAGGTAAGCAAACTTCTCCCTTGGTAAAATGCATTTTCCCTCAAAACTGAATTTCTGTGCATTTCTATTCTGAAATTTCCTCTTCCATGAATGGTAGAGATGAGGAAAAAAATGTGAGGATACAAATGACACAGATCTGCCTATATTACCTATAACTATAGTTATATTTATATCCATATCCATATCCTTATCCTTATCCTTGTCATCTAATGTCCACTGAAGCCTCCAAGCCTTAGGAAATCTACCAGGCAATAACTTTACAATTTTTGAACATTCACCATATGACAGACACTGTTGGAAATGCTTTACATCTTTTACTTCATGTGATCATTATATACAAAGTAGATATTCCTGTCACATTCCTTCACATAAGAAAACAGAAGCACAAAGTGCTCCAAGCTTACTCATTGGTAACTGGTAGAGTTATGATTTGAACTCAGGCACTCTGACTCTAGAGGTCACAGGTTTCACCATTACTCAAACACTTCCGGCCCTGATTCTATTCCGTGCGATTTCTGCAGCTGCTGCTCTTGGGAGTGGAGTGGGCGATGTGGTGTGAAGGAGGATTGTGGTTTTCTTCTCTGGGCTCTTCTACTTTCTATATGTTTGCAAATTGATTGTTTTTTTTTGTTTGTTTGTTTTGTTTTTTTTTCACTAAGTCCTCTACATGAGAAACTCATTTTCTGTCAAATTCCACAGAAGCAAACCACCTAAAATAGAAGATTTCAGTCTTCTAGGGAAATGTCCCACTGAGCAATTCAAACATTATACACATACCTATTGGATACCTACTGTGTGCCAGGATCTGATATAGAAACATGGGGTACTTTGGTAGAATGAAAAAGAAAAAGTAATTGCCCTTTTGCTGCTTGCATCCACTGGGGAGAAAGACAGTATTCAACACACATAGTAAATAGGTGAATGAAAAAATTAATTTTTGGCAATGATCAGTACAATAAAAATAAAGTATGAGTATGTGAATGTTAATCATCTTGTGAAAGTATTCATATATCCCTTTTATTGATTGTTTTCATCATAAATAGATGTACAAATTTATCAGATGCTTTTCTGCATCAAAATAGATGATCATGTTTTTATCATGATCAAAATAGATGTTTTGATCAAAACAGATCAAAATTTTATCAGGATCAAAATAGATGTTTTTTCTATTTGTTCTATAAATATGGCATACCATACTGTTTGTTTGTCATTCGTATATTGAAACATACTTGTATTTCAGGAATAAATACCACTTGCTCATGGTTTATTATCCTTCTGATATGCTGTTCAATTCAGTTAGCCAGTATTTGGTTGAGGATTGTTGCATCAACAAATCCAGTAGTAATAAGGCCACTGTCAACAGAAAGGTGTGCAGCTGTACCTGACAGAAATTTAAATTTTGTGTTTCAGTAGAAGTTTAAGTTCCAATGAGACCCATTTCAGATGAGCAGGGACTGGCCTGTGGGACAACCAGTGGTTAATGCTTGCAACAGAAAGTATTCCCCCTAGATCTGGAACACAAGCCAGTAGATTCTAGTCATTTTTTGTTAGAATGAAGTAAAGAACAAGGCAGAGAGGGGCTTTTTTGGTTTTGTTTTATTTTTCATTTTGCGTTAGAAGCCCTGGGGAAGTTTATGACCATGAGGAGTGGTCTAGAGATTCCAAGAGGAATGAAAATCATTGCTGAAGTCTCTAGAGAGAAGAGGTATTTTTTGTTTGTTTGAAAGCACTAAAAGGAGTGCCTGTGATTTTAATTTGTAAGTAAAATTTGTAAAAGAAGAATACATTGCCACTGGTACCTCAGAACAACTTAGAGATTCTGGATTATGTGACATTATTGTAAGTATCATACGAGTCTTCTTTGAAGAGGTTGCTATATCATCCTGTGCTCTGAAGAAATGCGGCTGTCATTATTCATATTGGAATAGGATACACACTTTAGGATAGCGAGCTTTGGCAGCACTCCAGAAGGCAACACATAACTGTGCATAGCACAGCACAGGAAAGCCATCAGGGTAAAAAGCCTTCTCAAATTCGTGGAGCCAATAAGTAGCAAATCAGTAAGCCATGAACAGTCAAAGTGCATCTCCTAGGAACTTTCTACCCTGGTTTAGAATAATCCCCTCTTCATTGCCACTACTGATGAAAATGGTAGAGTAAGTCCTGCAGGTTATGTCTTAAAGGATCACTCTAACATGGTTATGAAAATTTCATCTGGAGAGGCATAGCGGGGTAGGGCATGCCACACAGGAAGCCATATGGGAGGAGCCCCCAGGGAGAAGGCTCAACCAAGCAGAAGGGGAAGCAAGAGAGACAAGAGATGGGAAGCCATTGCCTTTACCGGGAGTCAGGATGGAGGACACAAAGAAAAAGCATGATGGGTTTTAATAGAATGTTTCAGTGTCACTAGGTCACAGTAGAGGAGGACAAGAAGAGGAATTGTAGCTGGGACCAGCTTTATCACAGTGTTGTACCTGGTTTGGCAGGGTGCTCACAACTTGTTTGTGGGATGTTGAGGTATCAGGTAAATACGATTTAAAAAAAAAATTACCTATAATGGAATCTTTAATTTTTTTCATATAACTATTGATTTTGCCCGCACCATTCGGCATTCCGTTCATTTCACCCTGTAAGCACTCCCTTAACATTTTCTTGTACGCAAGGTTTTGTGTCATGACTATCTTAGCTTTTTTCTATCTGAGAACTGTCTCTATTTCTCCCTTGTGGTTTGAGGACACTTTCGCCAGGGTTACTAGAATTTTCTATGGTGGGACAGGCTTTCTCCTCTTACAGCTTTTGAACACATCATCCTCGGTCTTCTGGCCTCAGGATGTTTGGCTGTATAGAGCTGCCAGCTGATAATCTATGAGGGGGTGTCGTTGGAATGGAGGATCGTTTCTTTCCGCAGCGCTTCATGGTTCTTTGATTTAGTTTTTGATGGTTTGAATTTATAATGTACTTTAGTTGGGTGTCGTCAGGATGTCCATTCTTGAGTTAAACTTGCATTCTTCAGTGTCGTTAAATTTTGTCATTATGTTTTTATTTAAGTTGTGGAAGGTTGTTTGGCTGTGATTCTTAAAATAATCGTCTGCCTCCTTTTTCTCTTCCTCTTTCTTTTCCCCTGGGGACTCTAAATAAGTTATTTCAATCCATTGATAGTGTCCCAGAGTTCTTTCGATTCTGTTTCTCTATACTAATTCCATTTTTCATCCAATACTCAGTCTTAGTAAGGTTTAATTGATTCCATCTTGCAGTTTTATCACTTTTCTTCCCACCTGCTCGGACACCTGTTAGGGAACCCCGCTACTGAACTTTCAATTGTTGTATTTTACATTCAATGTTTCGTATTGATGGTTTCTTTCACTGTTCTCTTTTCTGGCTGTCCTTATTTGTTAATGTCGTTTATATTCCTGCTGTTTTAGTTATTTGTGCATTGGTTTCCTTTACTTTCTTCAGCATTTTTAAGAAGTGGTTCATTAGATACTGTGAATCTAGTGTCAGAGTGGGACCCAAGTATCAGAAGAGCCATTATAGAAAGGGAGGAAGGAGCATTAATTATGTTGGAAGAAGGACATGTGGGGATGACAAGGCAAGATGTTATAGAGTGAATGGGAAGATGTGACCAGTGAGAGAAAGGAAGTCTGTGGCAAGCCCTCTAGAATTTGGAAAAGGCAAAAAACAGCGCTGCAGAAGACACGATAGCGGTATTACTGACAGCTTTAATACCACACCGTACCTCAGGTATATCAGTGATAATTATAGATTCATAATATACAGATATGTGTGTGTTGATGTGTGTGTGTGTGGTGTGTATATCTATATGGCATATATATAAACACTTCAAAGTAGAGTTCAGGAGTTCTACTCAGGTCCTCAACCCAAAGCTCTACCTTGAAATTGAATCCCTTGGCTGGGCTTGATGGCTCTCACCTGCCATCCCAGCACTATGGAAAGCCGAGGCAAGTGGATCACTTGCACTCAAACCTGGGCAGAATGGTGTGAGCTGTTTCTACAAAAATACAAAGATAAGCCTGGCATGGTGGTGTACACATGTGGTCCTAGCTACTCTGGAGGCTGAGGTAGCAGGATCGCTTGAGCCTGAGAGGTTGAAGTTTCAGTGAGCCATGATTATGCCTCAGCACTCCAGCCTGGGCAACAGAACAGGACCCTCTCTCAAAAAAAAAAAAAAAATTGAAACTCTCTGTGCCTCAGGGCTCAGTGCCCTCAATTGTAATACGACCTCATGTTATAGGCTTGTTGTGAGGGTTAAATGAGATAATACACGCAGTGTGCTGAGATCAAGTCCTGCTCCTGATTCCTGATGTGCACCCAGTCACTGAATGTCTTTGATAAACACGAGGAAATACAGAATTATGTAAGGATGAAAAAATGATTGCTTTATGCTCCTTTCCAGAAGTGGCAGGTGAAGAGGAGCTACAGATGATTCAGCCTGAGAAGCTCCTGTTGGTCGCGGTTGGAGAGTCGGCCACTCTGCACTGCACTGTGACCTCCCTGCTTCCCGTGGGACCTGTCCTGTGGTTCAGAGGAGCTGGACCAGGCCGAGAATTAATCTACAATCAAAAAGAAGGCCACTTCCCCCGGGTAACAACTGTTTCAGACCTCACAAAAAGAAACAACAAGGACTTTTCCATCCGCATCAGTAGCATTACCCCAGCAGATGCCGGCACCTACTACTGTGTGAAGTTTCGAAAAGGGAGCCCTGAGAACGTGGAGTTTAAGTCTGGACCAGGCACTGAGATGGCTTTGCGTGGTGAGTACAGCATGGATCTCCCTCATCCCTTGATGTGTGACAATAACTCAATAATAGCACCTTCCATTCTTTGAGCAACAATCAGGTGTGGTGGTGGGTGCTCATTTTCATGACCTGATGTCACCCCCTTCTACAGATCAGGTGAGTTAAGGCCCAGGGACATCACGCTATTGCTCAAGGTTCCACGGCTGGTAAATGATGGGAAAGACTGCATCTCCAATCTGTCTGGCTCTACAGCTCTTGTCCTTCCCAATCTGGCCCAGCCCTTTAGTTCCACGAATGAGGAAACTGACAGATTGAGTGATTTGCCCGGGTACAGGGCCAGAGCTCACCTGCAGCCTCCAAAGAGTGCTCCTGTCTCAGGCTGGCCGAGTCTCTTCTTTATGCAACAGGCACTCACTGAGAACCCACTGTGTGCCAGACTCCACCCTGGATGTTGTGCAAACAGCAGTGAATGAAACAGCCAATAGCTCTTCCTCCACCAAGCTTACATTCTCTTCCATTCTAATGAGGAGAAATCCATCCAGGGGATGGAGCGTGTAAATCGTGTTTTTCTTTATTTAATCTTCAGAAACATCACACAGGGAAGATTCCTGGGAGGCACAGATTCACTCTTCAGTCTGATGGCCTGGTGGGAGGAGATGCCAACAAGTTTGGTGTTTGCTGTGGGTCTATTTGAAGCCTTGTGTGATTTCAGGACTGAGTCACACAGTCACTGTGGGCTCTGAGCAGAGCCGGGTCATCTCAGAATATCCCTCACCTCAGGAAAGAGGTCATACATATGGCTGGCTCAGGGGTGCCCAATTTAAGGCAGCAATAAAACCTATTTGGGGTTTCCAGTCAGAGGCCCAGAATCCTCATCCCACCTCCTGAATCCTGACATTTCAACATGGGAAAGACCTTCACGCTTTCAGCCCAACTCCCCTTTACAGATGGGGGACTTAAGCCAAGAGATGACAGGGGCCTTGTCCACAGTCACAGGGCCAGTTATTGATGGAATCAAAGCTAGAGTCCAGGTCCGGATCGAGGCAGGCTCCTTCCTTCCCCAGCATTTGTTAAGACACTGTCTTCATAGAAGAACCTGGTGCATCACAGGTGCTAAATAAAAGCTCCTCAGACAGAACCATGGATCAGGGAGCCGGGATTTCTTTTTTCATCCATTTCCCAAAGGTTCAGAATGCACCTCACATTCAGACACTAAAACCCACTGGTGGTTGGAAAACTTCCTCCAAACATAAGCCCTATCATTCCATATTGAGATTCCATGTCAGGACGTAGAACTGCTCCACTCTTTAACAGCTGCAGAATACTCCAATTTATGGAAATACCAAAATTTATTTCACAGCATCCTGTTGATGGATATGTAAGTTGTTCCCAGACTTGAGCTACTAACAATCCTGCAGTGGATGGCTTTGTACATGTATCACCCTACTCAGGTGGGAGACACCCACTGGAAGTGACATTGCTAAGTTAGAGGGTGTGTGTGTTTTCATATATGAGAATATTGTCTAATTTCCCTCCTAGATGGTGTAGCAACAGGGCTCCCCACAACCCTTGAACATAGATGTGGAAGTGGCTTTATCCTGATTGTTACAGATAATATTAGGCAAGATGACGCTGGAAGTTTCAGATGGTGCCCTCCACCCAGCCCAAGGCAATCACAGGCCAGGAAAGTAGCTCCAGGCTGTGACTCGAGATGCTGCTAATTCCTAATAGGGGTCACCCCCTCTTTTGCCATGCTTTAGCCTAAATTTTTTGATGCCCTGGGATGACAAAGGAGGGAGGCAGGTTGGAAGGGAGGGCCAGGGAGGCTGCAGTTGTGCCAGAGTCTCTTATAACCATGCGCTATGAGGTAGGAGCCTTTGTTGCTCCTTTAAAGATTGAGGACACGTGAGTGCTCAGGGGGGAGGAGACCTGAGTGGTGAGCAGTCAGGGAGCCAAGGGTTTCCTCCCCACCAGCTGGACTCACGGTCCCTTGTCTCTGTCAGTACTCACTCAGCTCTGGTTTTTCACGGTGGAGAAGTGCTCCACACTTCCTTTCTCAAACTCTGGCATTGTTCCAGTTCTATAGCAACAAGCATTAGAACAAAACCAGGCTGGGCTGCAGTGGTCACCGGCCTGTAAATCCCACCTTCGGGGAGGCCCATGGCCGGTGGATCCCCTGAGGTCACGAGAGTTTGGAGACGCCTGACCACACATAGGAGAAACCCCGTCTTTTTTACTAAAAGTACAAATTAGCCAGGCATGGTGGCACGTTGCCTGAATCCCAGCTACTGGGGACGACTGAGGCGGGAGAATTGCTTGACCTGGAATAGTGGAGTTGCAGTGAGCGAGATCAACAGCAATTGCAACTCCTTGCCTAGGGGCAAAAGAGTGAAACCTGTCAGGTCCAAACAACAAACAAACAAACAAGCAGACAAATAAAAAGAAAAAAAAAAAAAAACAAGACCTGAGGGTTAGGAAGGGGCTGGCTTTACACTCCCATTAGAAAGGTCCTGCATGTGTCTCATATATCAAGCATGTTCCTAAAGGACAGGTCTCAGCACACATGAAGCATTTAGGACTCTACCCCCGTGTTACGCTGTTTCTCCTTCACTGAGCAGCATCTACAGAGCAGAGTCGGACCTCCTGCAGCCCAGCAGAGCACGTGCCCACCCCTTGTTGGTGCTAAGGACCAAGGATGAGGAGATGACGTATTTCCTATGGGGTGCATCAGGCCCATAGGAGCAAGTTTCCATGCTCCCCTCGGGCTGTCAGGAGCCCACAGTGTTTTATGGCTACAGGGTATCTGGGCCTGGACACCCAGGAGGGAGGCTTCTCACTAGAATTGCATGAAGTCAAGAATCTCGAAGGCATAATTAAGAGTGCAGTCAGTGTTGGGGCTCAAGAATTCAGGGCACTTGCTCTGTTGATGGACAGGAGTGCTTGGTGGGACACAGGAGGTGCCCACTGGGACACATGGAGGACAAGGAGGCAGTGCCTTCATTTCTCTCAGCCTCAGTTTCCTCATCTGTAAAATGGTGATCATCACGACTCCTTTAGGAGAGGGGATAGGATTTGAGGTTCTGTCTGTAAATCACCTAGCACATTCTAAGCATCCCCAAATTGAGGTGCTATTTCAAGGTTGTGTAATCTTAGGCCAGGCTTGCCTTCCCTTGAGTCCTCGGTTTCTCCATCTGTGTGATGCTGATAATCATGGCCCCCACTCTAGGTTCTGCGAGGATTGGAGAGGATGTGCACAGAGCCCCTAATGGTGGTAGTGTTCAGGTGATTACTGAACTTCCACAGAACAGTGGTTAGGACAGCATGGGCAGGATCTCAACTGCCTGGACCACTTCCCGGCTCTGCCACTTTCTAGCTTTGCGACCTGGGACAAGGCAACCACCACCGTGGGCCTTGGTGTCCTCGCCTGTTGATGATAACACTGACATCACAGACTGGGGGCAGAGCTGAAGGAGTTAAATCATGTAACATGCTCAGAGCAGCACCTGGAGTGCAGTAAATGTTCCATAAATGTGAACTGTGTGATGCTGAAGCCATGACACTTCAGATGGGTCAGTGCTCCTCCAGGCCTCAAGGATATATGGGGTTTGGGGTGGAGTCTGGTAGCTTTCAATCCTGGCCGCCCATTAGAATCACCTGGGAAATTCTGACAAAAATGTTTACAAACCTGGACTCAGGATCCACCCTAAAAATGCCAGTTTAATTGGTCTGACATGGGCCTGGACATCTGAACTCTTCATGACTCCAGAAGATTCTCATACGCAGTCCCTTGGCAAAGGTCGTGCCCCCTGGCGTTGGGGCTTTGAGAACAGCTTTTCTGGGGGTGGGTGCTTCAGAAAAAAATGTGGTGGAAACATCTCAGGAGGCCTCAGTGCCCTGGCTAGGACCCCTCCCACAGTACAGGCCTCAGGACCCAAGATAGAGTTTCCTGATAAAGCCCTGCTCAGATCCAGCCTCAGTGCTAGAGGACTTTCCATTGTGAAAACATTTGTATCTAAAAAAGCACTGAAATCCCAGTACTCCTCAGCCCCAAAAGCCTCCCTGCCTCAAAACACCAAGATGTCACAGCAGGGCAGGGCCAAGATGGCTGACTAGAAGCAGTAGTAATCCGAGGCTCCCATGGAAAAGAACCATAAAAGTGAGCAACACTAACCAAAGTATCCAGGTTCTGACATTAGAATTGACTAGGCAGCTGGCGAGACCCACAGAGAGGAAGAGCAGTGTGGTGCAGCGGCCCACCTGAGAGCTGTGGGGCAGGGAAGCCCCCATCTCCCAGTCAAGGGAGGCGGTGAGTGAGCGTGCTACCTCACCTGTGAAACCGAGCTTTATCCACAGAGCTGTGCAACCCACGGATCGGAAGATCCCACTCGTGGGCCCACGCCACTGGGGCCTAGGGTCCCAACCACAGAGCCATGCAGATTCTCAACAGTCATTTAGCTAGAATCTCCTTAAGGCTGCCGAGATCCCAGGGTAAGGGGCGGCCAGGACCACAGCTGTGGTTGCCTGCTGTCTAAGTCGGCTGAGCTCCTCGGGGGATGGGCGGCAGCCAGCACTGGGACTGATCATTGCTTAGCACACTAAGTTCCCAGGGCAAGGGAAAGGTGGCAGCCATCTCTATAGCTCCAGGCCACGCTTTTCCCCTACTGGCGCCAGGAAGGTTGGATGGCCTGTTTCCAAGAAGTATCCCCCACAGCCCAACACATCAGCTGTGGCAGACTGTGGCCAGAGTGCCTCTTCAGGACGGACCCATCCCTCCTCACTGGGTGGGGCCTCCTTGCAGGAACTCCAGCAACTCCAGACCGGGTCTCAGGGACAGAACTCTGATCTCCCTGGGCCTGAGCCCTATGGGGAGGGGTGGCCGCAGTCTTAGTCCGGCAGACTTAGTTTTTCCTCCTGCTAGTTCGGAGAAATCTGGGCAGCCCAGATAAGTGGGTTACCCCCCACTGAAGCACACCCACTCCACCAAGGGACAGTCAAAGTGCTTCGTTAAATGGGTC